TGTGCTAACACTTCAAGTGTTCCACCGTCACGTGCAAGTGTGTTAGCATTTTCATAAACATTTTTCAAAGGTTAATCACTTCTCATCAAATATGTACTAGGTCTAAAATGCAATGCAAGTTTTTCAACACTTAGTGGCACTAGATGATTGAGTTGTCCGATAAGAGCTCCCCTCTTAATAGTACGACTGTCGGTGCGAAAAGTGGCCAACAAGTAAATATTTGTAGTTTTGCCGTATGTTGTGATCGGATGTGGCCTAGCACTCAATGACACAGGGTTTATACTGGTTCTGGCAACGTGCCCTACATCTAGTATGAGTCGGTCGAAGACTTTATTCCTGAGCCCAGGTGCTCGAAGCTTGATGTAGGGTTACAAACGAATGGGAATAAGATGGGGGTGCAAGAGGTCGGGTCGGACTCTGGACTGAAGGGCCAAGAGTGACGAGAGCTCCTACGTGCGCTAAGTATTGGAACATGTAGCTTTAGAGTTCTAGAGGAGCTGTTCGAGTGCTCTGAGTATCTAAAGCTAGTCGAGAGAGAGTCGGAATGAACCATCCTTGCTGAGAGATAGCACATCCCCTTTTATAGATGAAGGGGATAGCCTTACAAGTTTTAAGAGAGAGAGAGAGAGAGAGTTTCTTAGTCTTGTTGCCCATGCCATCGGGTACAAGAAGGTCGTCGGCGCCAGCAACACTGTTTATGTCAGACATATGTGGCAAGCTTTACCGTGTTTGCCTGGTATGGCAAAGGACGGCGCCCACAACACTGTAGGGTAAACGTCGGTGCCCACAACATTGTTCAGGTTCTGACATGGCTGGAAGGTTGTAGAGCCGCCAGAAGACATGCCTGGAAGGTTGTAGAGCACCCTTCTCGCGGTACTGTCCTGTAGGTGTCCAGGGTACAGTCCTCGATTTGCCTTATCTACTCCGCCTGACTCTTGAGTCCCCACCGAGCGGGCGTCCCCGGTCGGTCGTTCCCAGTTGACTCCGACCACGCTGGTCGGAGAAGAGCCGTAAGCAGAGGTTCGGTGTATTACAGTCGAAGAAGAGGGTCGGAGTCGGAAACGAGCCAGGCCTTCCAGTCGGAGAAGCAGGTCAGAGTCGGAAGCGAGCCAGGCCTTCTGGTCAGAAGAAGCGGGTCAGAGTCGGGAGTCAGAAGTGAACGTCGCCCTCTCCTTGCCTAGGCCTCTGGGTCAGAGAAACCGGGTCGAAGTCAGAAGCGAGCGTCGTCCCCTCCTCGGCCAGGCCTCCCGGTCGGAGAACCGGGTCGGAGTCGGAAGTGAGCGTCGTTACCTCCTTGGCCAAGCCTTTCAGTCGGAGAGAGCGTGTCGCTCTTCCGGCCTGTCGTTAGGTAGCTGGGCTGGCCCATGAGTTGTGCGTCATTTTCAATGCCATTCGCTGGGCCAGACTTTTACTGGGAAGCGGGCCCATCGGGGACCCTGGGTTTATGAACCCAACAACGACCATCTATCATAAATGTGAACACACTCGCTAAGTGTCTTGATCACTAAAATAAAATAGTTCCTACCACTTATACCTTTGCCTTGAGCCTTTTGTTTTTCTCTTTCTTCTTTTCCAAGCCCGAGCATTTGATCACTTATGGTCACACCACCATCTTGATTATCTCTATCCTTGCTCATTACTTGGAATGTGCCACATATCTCATAATCACTTAGATAAACTAGGTTAGCACTTAGGGTTTCATCAATTCACCAAAATCAAACTAGAGCTTTCACCTGGCCGACTGGGAAGTCGACCTAGCTGAATCAGGGAAGGCAGCAATCAGCTCAGCCGATTTTAAAGTCGGCTTAGCCGATTCTGAGTAGGCAAGCAGCCCTCCTTTGTTGCTTGTAGGGGCTTGATCTCCATCATTGATGCGGTAATCACTAGATAAGTGTACAACCCCTTTAGCTTCTGAAAAATCAAGACTTGAGTCTAGCTATTTTCTTGCGCTTCTCATGCTTTTCTGTAGCAAGACTTGTTTCTTGATATGTGGCTGATTCAGAAAGGATATTATGTTGTTCAGCTTTTGTAGTCGAACCTTTGCTTCTATCTGAATCAATTCTTTCTTTCATGCCCACTAGCAATTCTATTTTAGCCGATGACTCGATTGTGATTGACCTTTTCTCATTAGTCTTTCCAAAATATTCGTAGAATTGCTCCTCTAATTGAGACCATGAACCAATAGTACATCAGGGTAAAGATGTAAACCATGCAAAGGCAATACCGGTGAGGGATAAAGAAAAATTTCATACTCTCATATAGTCTTCTTTACCGGCAAAACACAGCTGTGAGAGATATATACTAATGTGTTCCATAGCGGTTTTATCATCTTCACCACTAAATTCATAAAAATCCGGTACTCACCATCCATCAGGAGTTTTTAAGTAATCAATGCATAATGGGTACGGTATATGATACGCGGGCACCTTCCATTTAGAGGAGCCATATGGATTTCTAGTATGGGCTAAATCTTCATCGATTCGGCTAGATTTGATAGTATCATATAAAGCCAAATCATGATTGCATGTACACACAATGCTGAATTTTCATTGATTCGGCTATAATTATTAGCAATATGTGGAGCTGAATCATGAGAATTAGGACTCGAATGCCTTGCTAAAATTTCACTAATTCGGCTATGGTCATGAGCAAAATACGAAGCCAAATTGTGGGCATTGATCTTTGCATAAGGTGCTGAATTTTTATTAATTCGGCTATGATTACTAGTAACACGTGAAGCCCAATCATGACTATTAGCACTTAAATACCTTGCTGAATTTTCATTAATTCAGCTCGAGTTGGGAGTAATATGTGAAGCCGAATTATAAATATTAACATTGGCATATGGTGCTAAATTTTAAGAGCAATTGGCTAAATAATTAGCATTATCATAGACAATTCTCTCATTCATCGGCATGTCATGTGGTGGAACCACATATTGTGAACTTATAGCCAATGAATAAGGATTTACATGTTGTATGTTGCTAGTAGCATCAAAACTCAAAGAATTTATGATTGACATTGGCTCTTGACCATAATATTCATAATCATGATGTGTATTATGAGGAGAATTAACAAAAGTATTAGCCGATGTAATATATCTAGTATCATTACAGCTAGCAACACCAACATGAGAGCTCATAAAACTTGCAAAATAACTATTGGAATCATAAGATGCATTTGCAAGTTGTACCTTAGGATGATTGTAGTAATATTGTGATGCAACACCTTGGTACTTCATGGTTTATAACTTAACCGCATTGCTGAATTTTCCAATAAGCAGTGTAACTTATTGCAAAGTCGCAAACGAGATCACAAGGGGTCAAAACCAGATGCGATCGGCCTTTTGGGTCAGATGCAACGGTAATGACAAGCACAAAAAGATAGATCAACGAGGCGTAAGGCTAGGTCAGAGATATCAGCTATAAGAGATAGCCGAACCAATCTTCCCCAGCGGAGTCGCCAAAAAGTGTGTTGACATCGGAAGTGATCCGAATCACACACCAGCAGGGCCTTGGACGTCTGGGACGCTATGGGCCAAAGAACGCAGTGAGGATGTCACTCTTTCGTGGTGAAGAACGGAGAGGTTTACAAGCAAACCACCAAAGGATGATCAATGTGCTTACGTGACGAAGAACCGGCTAGTTTCTAGACAAACTAGCAAAGAAACCGTCGAAGCTCTCGCCCAGAAGGGACCCCGTCAGGGCAAGGACGTCGCTAGGTTGCCCTAGGTCGGCTGGCAAGCCTAGGACGCCATTCTTGGTCGTTGGATCAAGGGATGAATAGCATGGGGTTGGAGAAGAGGATAAAAGGGCGAAAGGGCCTCCAACCTAGTGGTTAGAGCACCTCAATAGCATCCAGTAGGCCTGGGTTTGACTCCCCATCGAAGCGAATTAAAAGGGTCTAGAATAAAAAAATTAAAAAATAGGTTGGGATTTCCTTTGCTGACTTCGGTCAAAAAAAATAAGAAGAGGGTAAAAGGGTTGGAGTAGAGGTATTAGATTGATTTGTTCGTCGATTGGATTGATGGGAACTCAATCGGCCATGATACTCTCATATATATATAGAGGAGGTGGTCTGATTCCAGTAGAAAATATTTCCAAGACTTATTTTCCAAGTTTTCCACGAGTTTGGAACAGTTCGGATCGGAATCCGAAAGACCAGATCCGAACAGGATTTTCTGTTAGGTCTGTCGAAAGTCTTGTCCGGACTCCCGACAGGCAGAAGTCTCGACTTGGGTCGGAACTCCCGACAACAGAGTACCTTTCCGGGGGCATAACTCCTTCATCCGGACTTGGAATTAGACATTCTATATATGTTTTTGACCGTCTCGACGAGAAGAACGTAATGGTGAAGTCCGTTCCACGTTTTAACAACTTCACAAAATGACCAATTTTGCTTGTCAACACATGCTAAGTTATTCTACATCTTTATTGTATAAACTTGGGGTGCGTTTGTATCATATATTTTGCAATTTTCGGACCTCCAAGGACACCAAATATGGAAGGCGGCTGGCCTACTCTGTACAGTTCTAGTCAGGAAGGAAAGGGTATTATGGTATAATTTGTAAATGTGGCACAATAAGAAAACCCACAGCTTAAATGTTTATACACCAACGGTACCCTTAAGAAAATTGCTAGTGTAAATATACGATTTACATCGGCGGTCACTTAAGATAACAGTGTAAAATCAAATTTTTTTACACTGGCGGCAGTGCTAAAACAACAACCAGTATAAATAAATCATATATTTATACTAGCGGTTCACTTAACACTATTTAAAGAGACCCATGGGGATATAGACACAAACAACTCAACCTTGGAAGGCTTAACGGATTCATATTATTCTCGTCTGAGGAGCATCAGAAGTTCAGAACCGCTAACACAAATATATACTGTACTCGGTAACTCGCTCAGGGAGTTGTTTGTGTCTATATCCTCTGATGAAAAACTTTGCCATGTAACACTCAACTTTACTTCCGTAGCAAGCATTATATCATGTCACTCAAAGACAGATATTTCACCAGTCCAGCTACAAGAAGCAATCACATTTGGCATTACTGGGTGGTAAGCAACATCAGTGCATGCTTCTTTGAAGGCTTCTATTTTCCTTAAAAGCCTTGCGGACTTGTAATCATAAAAGTAAATACATCCATCGGATGAACCAGATGCAAGTTCTCTTCCGCTCAGGGAAAAGTTGCACTTTACAGGGAAACCCCACACTCCATGTCCTTCAAACCGCATATACTTGTTCAGCTTGAAGGGTGGCCTTGCTGAAAAAATAGCAATGTAGTTCCCATTGGATTGTGCAACAAAAGATGCTTCACGTGGGTGGTATCTTACACACGGGCATGTGAATGCTTCAGTGTAAACCTGTAATACACAAATGGTGAATTCTGTTAACTTCCATCCTGCTGGTAGGAGGCCAATCCCTGTTACTGAAAATACACACCCTGGACTAACGACGGAAGAAATGGACTACAGCGTGATGTTTATCTATAAAAAAAAAAGTAAAGAAAAAAAAAAAAAAAAAAAAGAAAAGGACCGAACATAGAAATTGAGCGTGATGTTTATCTATATAAAAAGTAAAGAAAAGAAAGAAAAAAAAAAAAAAAAACAGAAAAGGACCAAACATAGAAACTCTTCGTGGTTTAATATTAGGGTAAGATAAAATTTTACATTTCAGTCTTCAAAACGTGACTTTGATTGTTACTTATTATCTGTAACTTTACAACATTGTGACTTATAAAATTTAGTTTAAAATTAAATTTAACAACAAATATAGTAATGGCATTTTCATACATCCAACTTTGACAATTTTAAATATGTTGATGTTCCGATAATGTTTGACCACAGAGATTTGCCAACTTTAAATAAAACTGAAAGGAGATAGTACTACAAAGGCACAGATATAATATGGAACTAACAGTAATAGACTAATCATGTTGGTAATTTGGGGTACCTACATCAGCAGATACAGCATGGGTTATGAAACAAAGAATTGTAAATTCATTTTTTTTGCAAGAATTGGCAGAACAGATATTCAACAATGAGCAACTTGTAAATCTATACAAACAAACTGCTAAATTAGAAGTTCAGTGCAACATACGGTCACAACTTATGATGGTTTCTAGAATATGCTCTGAAACAATGCTCCAGTCCCATTAGTGTTGCAGCATGATTAGACGGGTTTTACTTCTCTCATGAATATCCTGAAATACTATGTTCAACTTCTACATATCACAACAGATATATCCAAGTGGAAATTGTAAAAATATAATCTCTAACAGGGCTGATATAACAAAACAATAACCAGATTTCAAATTTTGACCTTTTTTTAAAGTGTTGTACCACATGTTGACTGCATGCAAATAGAAGCAACATGTGAATAAGGTACTAACAAAGATGGCATCAGAACCACATACACTTACTGACTAATATAGAGCTATACGCCTATTACCTGGTTAGATAAAGGAACTTGTCGCATGACATCCCAAACAATTATAGTGTTCTCACTAATATTGCTTCTGGTTGTGTCAGTTGAAGAGATAAATTGTCTCCCATCAGCACTGAAGTCAATGTCAAGGATGGTTCCAAGGTTTCTATGAAATTCTTTTGTTACCAGACCACATCGAATATCCCAGAGTCTAAGGGAACCCTTGGACCCACCAGATAGGAAGATATCGGGGTTGCTTGGATTGAACTTGATAACCTCCACAGCTTGATCCTCCTTGAATACTTTCATTACTTTTCCCTCAACAACATCGACTAGCTGTACGGAACAATCAAGCCCTCCAGAAAGTAAAAAGGGCCTATGAAGGGACCACCTTACATCCTTTACAGCAGCAGTGTGATGTTTCAAAACACGAGCAGTGGTATTCCCTTTGTCCCATACGTTCCATACATGAACCGTGTGATCCATTCCAGCAGAAGCAAGAAGATGCCCTGCAGATACTTTTCTTTGTGAATGTCTATTGAGTGAGACTAATTTAAATAAAAGCTATGCAAAATCATCATGGGTATTTTGTACTGTATGTCAAAAGCAATATCTTAATTAACCAACCAACAAAATTTGAAGCTGGTGATTCTATGAAACAACTCATCTCATGCATTGGTACTTCCTATCAAGTCAACATGTGCACCATATTATTAATAGTGTTAGTTAAAAGTGAAGCACGAAGAATAACAAGGAAAATTCCATGAAGATATTGCCAATGTAATATTTCAAAAACATCCCTATTTGACATCAAATTACCAAGAAACATGGATTGTAAGCATTTCCATAGAAGATTAGGAGTACAAAATCGAAGGTGAAGATAAGGGAACAGCGGAGGTGATATATCTTGGTTTGCATAAGATCAGAATTTCAGAATGTCAGTTCAGTCCTGATAGCCTTCTCTAAAGAGTTAATATAAACATTCAAAAGAAAAAAGGTGAAAATTCCCTACATGACAACCTTTTGTAGTTTTCTTATAGACTTACAATCTTACAGTGTACCTTCATAGCATCATCATTCGTACTGTGAGTTTAGACGGCTCAGTGCTAATCTACTAGGGCCAGTAGCCAGATTGTTGAGAACATTGAGAATGCCAGAAGAACATGTCAAACATGTTAGTAGAGAAATCCATGTTTGTATGGTGGAAGGACAACCCAGTGCAACGTCTAAGATTGCCATTTTCTTGTAGAATAGGGGAAAAAACTTCTCATAGCCAAAATTTATAGATAATACTTTGCCAGTTTCAATTTTAATGTTGGTAACAACATCAATACCAGCACAGCACCGGGCACCCACTTTATTTCCTGGTTACTATAAGAGAAGTAGAGAAACGTATCATGTTGAACCACCTTATTGTATCTCAAATTGCATACCCCAAATCCCCATGACGGCTGTAAAACCAATGCATTGTCTTGATTAGAAGAGGGAGAATTCTGCATTCTCTTAATATCCTAATGCACGACCCTAGAGAATGGCTAACTCATAAAGATCTAAGAACATTTGCCCATTAATAACATAAGTCAAACAGAATAGTAAAGATCATGGAAGCAGAACTATGTAAGAATAATTACTAACCATGACTTGGTGACCAATCTACACAGTTGATTGCCTTAGTGTGACCCTTCAAACAAACTGAGAGCTTCAAAGGGAAACTTGTGCTTGGTCCAGGCTTTGGTTGGCATCGCAAGGAATGCAAAATGTCAGCTCGTAGATTTGTATAGGTGATAGAGCCATCTGTAACAACATGTTCACTGTTACAGAAATACAGAAGGTAGAAAATGGGCTGCTCAAGCAACATATAAAAATACTACTAAAGTACAGATGTGTCACTCCCTAAACTAGTTCCTCGTGAAATCATCATGATAACAGAAAACAGGACCATTGAAACAAAGCACTTGGTTTTCTCACACAACAATTGGATATTACTGAAACAAGCTTTTTATCAGCCTTTATCCGAGACCCTGAACATTGTTCTTCAAACAGTTTAAACCATTTCAGACATCTAATCATGGAAGATTAAATTCATCCTGGGATCCACTACACTATTACAAATCAATTTATCAGAACTAATCACATAAAACTATCCTGAACCCAGCCAGCAGTCTGGTGAAGCTGGTGTCTTCCCATGGGAGCAGCTAACCAGCAACCCGGGACGAATTTTATGTTAGGATAATCAGCATCTTTGAATCTGCTGCAATGGGGGCCCAAAAAGCTCACCTGCGCAATCAAACTCCGTGCTAAATCAGCTGGGGCAGGGGTGATCCGGATTCTACATGTGCCTGTGATGAAGCCAGGAGAGCACGCTCCCTCTTGGAAATGTACCTGCCACTGGATGGAGATGCCAACGTGTGTCGCTGCGTTGAGCAGGGGCTGTTGCGGGAAGGAGTGGGTTGGAGGAGGGTATTGGTGAGATCCCACACGCGGCCGCTTCAGGGAGGTGGAGCGAAGGAGGCGGACCCGGTGGCAACCGGCGCGGAGGAGGGTGGGCCAGTAGCATCCTCGTCATCAGAGGTAGCGCCGTACGCAGCGGAGAGGAGATCCATCTGCAGTCAGGGTTTTGAGTATTCCCTCTGTCCAAGACTGCGGGGGTGTTCGGCAAGCTGGCTGCAATAGCCAAGCTAGCAGCAGCTGCAACCAGCCACAGCAGACAGACAATGGCTTTTTTCACCTTCATCAATTTAAACGTGACAGGAACAAATGGTCAAATGGAGGCAATTCAATATTGCTGCATTAACGTCTTAGCAGACCAAAAGCAGATGATTCACAATGGCAGCAGAATTATTAATTTGTTGATATTGTAACTCGAGATGAAAGGTCCATGCATCAGGTCCTGCAATGATGGTTTCCAGTTATGGAAAATTTATGTACTCAAGGGTCGATGACCTCTTAGCGAGCAGGAAAGCTCATGTTATTTAAACAGAAGGTAATTCAATTCAGGTTTGTTAAATAGCAAAAGGGTTTATAAATTGAATAATGGATCTGAAATTATGGTAGGCAGTTTTAGCATAAGGTATCCACATTCGTAGTTTAACATACATTTTAAATCTCTCATACTTTGGTTTATTCAAATTTGTATCACCTTAGTTCTAGGCCATTTTTGAGCTTAAAAGTTACTACAAGCAACAAAATTAAACTGTAGGCAAGGAACAAGGCGCTGAGTTGTGTACAATAAGGACAGATAATAAAGCTAATCAGAGTTCACCTTAAGTATAAGTCTTTGATAGAAGAAGTTTTCTGTATGTATATTCTATGGAATCAAAATGCTCAAGTTTTTCATGAGTCTATGATGCAGTGCACAATTAAATACTAGTCGATAGTAGTACATTTTCGCAGTTAGTAATAGACATAAAAGTAGATTTCTATACCATATATGGGATTATTAGAGTAGACTAGCATGGTAGTGACAATAATCCTCCAGATAATTAATTGTTGTCACTGTACAAGCAAAACAAATTATAGAACGTAACATACTCTGATTTTGCGGTGACAGGACTACTGGCACTGACTTTTTGGATAAGACCAGGATCAAACCTGATAATAGCGAATTGCCAATGAGTAGTTAGAAAAAAGGAACTGATGAGCATCACAAGCAATGTTTTCAAGTCGTCCAGTCGAACCTAGTCGCCATAGGACCGACCAGGCGACTAATCGTGATTAGTCGTCGACCAAGCCGATTAGTCGAGCAGACAAAGCAAAGATAGGAGGGAGGAGGCAGTGAGCAGAGGAGATAGGAGCAGGTAAGCAGGGGAGGGCAGACCTGCGGTAGCAGCCGAGCAGGGGACGTGCTTACCTGCGGGAGCAGCTGCCTGGCGGGGAGGGGAGCGGCCGGCGGGAACAGGCGTGCAGCTGCCCGGTGGGGAGGGAGACCGGCAGGGAGGAGGGAGACCGGCGGAGGCGGGCGCTGGGGTCCTTGGGGTGGACTGGGCTGTCTGGCCAGGCCCAATGGCCCATAACAGATCCATTTAGGAGGCCTTAGGGCAAGCAGGGCCAAGAGGCAGGGCACACATCCGCTCGGAGGCGACAGCGTGCGGGCTCGGCTTCAGGCGTTTGGCGGCATGCGGCACTCGGCGGCTTGGCCGCTTGGGCGCGGTGGCCGGCGTGCGGGCTGCGGCGGGTGGTGGCTCTCCTCCGGTCCTCCCAAATCCCGGCGGCCGGCGGGGTGGCGGCTGGCAGCTCTCCTCTGGTCCTCCCAGATCCCGGCGGGTGGCGGGTAGCTGTGCTGCACCGCGGACGGCAGCAGCAGACAGCAGCCACGGGCGGCACTTGCGGCGCGCCTGCGGCGTGCCCCTTAGGCGGCGGCTCGCCCTACCTCCTTTCTTGAGCTGGGTCCGCCAGTGGTACTTTTCCTCTGTGCGTCTTCTCGAGTATCTGCACGCGCTCTCCCTCTTATCCTTCCCGCGCGCTCTTCCTTCGTGCTTTTCGCAGACTGCGGCCCGCCTGCCCGCTCTTCAGCCACCAAAAATCGGCAGGCTCACGTTTTTTCCGCCCGCGCGTGTTTTTTTCGGCCGCCAAACTGGTTGTCCCTGTCCTGGTCGAACGACTAATCGTGACCAGTCATCGACTAATCGGACGACCAGCTTTCTGGTCGAGCTGATCGCCTCGGTGCCCCAAAATGGTCACTAGGGACCGATAGGGACGATTAGTCGCGATTAATCGGACGACTTGAAAACATTGATCACAAGTAGTATATAATCGTCGAATGTACTAGTCCCATCAGTTCATAAGCTGGTAATTCAATTCTATTCTTAAAATAATCATGCTCTTTAGGAGTGCATATAGGCCCTGGCTTATACAGTTGTACGGATCCATTATAGATAAAATTATGTTCAAGTAGTCATCTATGAAGGTATGTGTATGCTGCATGCATGAATAAGTAAGCTGCAGCTAGTTGCATATTTGACAATAGATACAATTATGTCGGAGTAGTCATCAGCCAGTGATATGAAATGCAAGAAATGATGAGGCTCGTCTGGGCGAATAAGCGTGCTCACCGAGCGGGTCTGTGCGGACGGTGACGGCTTGACGGTGGTGGCCGTTTACAGTGTGCAAACAGGGTCAGGCGATGTTCAGGCAGTGGTGGCCTCAGATCCACACCGGCCCGCCGCTGGGCATCCGCCTTGCGTGAACGCGAAGGTGAAGACGGGAGCGGCGTGGTGGGGAAGATGGCGCAGCCGTCCTCCCCTCGACGTCGGGGATGCGGCCGCAACAGATCGATTCTCGGGCGTTGCGGGAGGTGGCGACGACGGCGCCGCAGCGGCAGCGGCAGCGGCAGCGGCAGCGGAGGGCGGCGGGAGACGGGGAGAGGAGGGCGCTGATAGAGGCGACGCCGCAGCGGGAGGGAGGGGCCACCGGCCGCCAGACCCGAATCCTACGGAGTCAACGGGATTGAGCGTACCCTTTTTATAAGTGAGAACCGTTATAAAATATCATAATTTCTCGTGAGTCACTCAAAAAGTTCGACGGATTTTAATATTATTACTTTAATTTTTTTTCCTTCATGCCACTATCGTTAGTGCATATGTAAAAAGTCAAAAATATCTTTAGGTCTAAATATGCCATCAATTTTTTTAACATCTTAACGACTTCAAATAAAAAAAACTTAAAACTAAGTTGTAGGCCTCGTCGAGATCTACAATTTTCATATAAAAATTATCTTTATTTATTACCGTAAAAAATATATGATTGTTCTAAGATATATTAATAATATCAATTCATTTTTTTGTGAAATTATATTGTCGGTGCAGAAAATGATCAACAAGTAAATATTTATAGGTTTGCCGTACATTGTGATCGGAGGTGGCATAGCACTCAATGACATAGGGTTTATATTGGTTCAGACAACGTGCCCTACGTCCAGTTTGAGTCGGTCGGTGACTTTATTCCTGAGCTCAGGTGCTCGAAGTTTACAGTGGGGTTACAAACGAGAAGGAGAAAGATGGGGGATGCAAGAGGTCCGGTCAAACTCCGGTCAGAAGGGCCGAGAGTGACGGGAGCCCCGCTATGAGCTAAGTGTTCAAGCGTGTGCTTGTGGTTCGAACCTGACGGTTCTGTGGTTATATACTAGTGAACTTGATCGATCTGAATCTATCTGTCTGTTGGAAGAGAGCGGGCTGGAGACCGAAGCGAGCGCTCCGGTCGGAGAGGTGGGCCGGAGTCGAAAACGAGCGCCGCTCCTCCTCGGCCAGGCCTTCCGGTCGGTGATTGGATCGTCCTTCTGGCCTGTTGTTTAGGTACTTGGGCCAGCCCATGAGTTGCGTGTTGTTTACCACGTTGCCTGCTGGACCGAGCCTCTGTTGGGAAGCCGGTCCGCGAGGGACTCCGGATTTATGAACCCGATAGGAGCCCCCGAGCCCCCGGGTGATTCGGGTACAATTATCTGGGGGATTTTTGTCTTTACGACGGGTGCGCGCGAGCGCACCCGCGGGTGTAGCCCCCCGAGCCCACGGACGATTCGGGCAGAATTGTTTGGGGGTGGGGGGTGTTTGTTAGCGGACGTGTGTGCATGTTTTTAAGCGAGACGGAGTCGTCAACCAAGGCGTCATTGCGCAGCCGAGGCGGTTAGTTTTAGGGATCGGGTGAGACGGAGCTCGCGGATCCTGGCGTCGGTGCGTGCCGTGGGATCGGGCGAGGCAGTTAGTTTAGGGATCAGACAAGACGGAGCTCGCGGGTCCTGACGTCGGTGCACGTCGGGGGATCGGGCGAGTCAGAGTCATGTATCCTGGCCAGCCCGCGTAGCTGAGGCAGTTAGTTAGTTAGTTTAGGGATCGGACGAACCGGAGCTCGCGGATCCTAATGGGGCGAGTTCGGGGTCGCAGACCCAGGCGTTTGTTGTGCAGTCGAAGCGTAGCCAAGGGATGGGGCGAGTTTGGGGTCGCAGACCCAGGCGTTTGGTGTGCAGTCGAAGCATAGCCAATAGATGGGGCAAGTTCGAGGTCGCAGACCCAGACATTTTGGTGTCTTGAGCCCCCGAGCCCCGTTGGGCCTTGGTAGGGGTCGGTTTGAGTTGTGTGCGTTACCCCGTCCTCGGTTTCTCACAACCGGAGGGGCTGAGCTTTGTCGCTTGCCTCGATCGCTCGGGCTTGAGTGACGCTCTCGGTGAGCTCGCTAACGGGTATGATCGAGTGGAATCCAGGTCCGTCGTTCGTGACGGGGTCGGCATAGCCCTCTTGTGACATTCCACTACTCCTTTACCTACAACCCAGCAAGTGCCTAGGTCGTTCCGGAGACCGACCTGGGTGGCCTACTGGCCTCCCCTCGATGGAGATTCTATGGGCTTGGCGAGAGGTTTAGGATCGAACGAGAAGGTTGAGATGATCATGTCTGCTTTGGGGCAGACGGGGCGAGGGCTGCACGGGGTTCATCTGCGTTTTCTCCCCTGGCTCTATTTGACGTGGGGCGGCCTCGAGCCCTTCGTGGGCCAACCTTCGAACCCCGGTCAATCGTTGCTCATATTTGAATGAGGCAACTACCGATTCGTGACGCAACACGGAGCGTTGTGATGCATTTCGCCGCATGTGCGATGCCTTAGTTCCCGAGCCCCCAAGCGGTTCAGGGCCCGAATCGTCCAGGGGGCACGGGCGTATGGAATGAATGCGTGTATAGATGTATGAAATGATTATAAAGAAATAACGAGGGTCGGCAGTGTTACCTTGATGACTTGAGTGACGGGGTCGG